GAGCATGATCACGTTATTAAAATTGCTCACCAAGTGCATCAGAAATATTAACTTGAGGACAGAAAGAATCTTAGAATCCAAAATTTTTCACAGAGCATTTCAAGAGCACTGAGATCATGGTCTCTCACCCACACAAACTCGGGGGGTCACGAAGCACATCGCGGGCCCTCTCTGTAGACCCGAGGGAAGCCAAGCAGGTCAGAAGCTGCTAACACTTTCTAAGTGTCAATGCTGAGGAGACACTTAAGGACCTCTAGCTATTTTCCACCTTCAAATACAAAACCTTAACCCTCAAAGAGCCAGATTAGAAACGTCCCAGTGAAAACAAGATTTTGGTCTCAGCAGAAGTCACCCCACAGCCCGGGCTAGGAAACACAGCTCTTGGAATTCCAGCTTCCTGTCCTCACAACAGACTCAGTCTGTTGGCCGTGGACTCTCAACTGTAGCAGGGCCCTTCTGTGTGATCAGTGAGTCTGGGGCCATGTTTTGCAAACTGGAGGCTATGCCACAGTACCGGGTGATAAAATCAATTTAATGCATCAGAACGTGCTCAAAAAAATAAAGACACAAAATAAGTAGAAAGTAGGAGAGCCTGTTACAAAAGTAGAAAATACAGGAAATCCGTGGAATTTCTTTGTTCAGTTTTATATATGTGTGTCTATAGATATTGCCTTGGAAAGTTGTGGGTTTTTTTTACTTTGGGTCATGATCAAAAGAATCTGAAAGCCATTGGTGCAGAACTTATGAGGCCTTCGGTGTATAACTGCTGGTGGGAAGGGAAATTGGTATCAGATTTGTTGACAGCAGCAATACCATTTAAGTATTTGATCTCAAGGCACCAATCACAGGTATGCAAAAGAAAAGAAAAATTATTAGGCACTAGAAGTTTTTCTATAGTCTTGATAATAAAGAAAAGTGGCCTGGTCAAAGGAAAGGGTTCCATAAATAGGGTACATCCATGTGACGGATTTAAAAATCCAGCCCTTGGGAGTCAATTCCAACCACGACAGCTCCAGGTCTTCAGTGGAGAACTGCTCCTCCACAGGACTTGCTTGACCTTAATTCTAATGGAAGCAGACTGACAAGCCTTTCCACAACAGTACTGCTGGGTGTGTCTGAAGCACCAGCCTTTAGGTTAGGAGTTGAAAATAAATGATTTGTGCCCCCCAGGGGCCTTAAATAAATGGTAAGTAGGAGACGTTAGTAAACTGCAGAATGAAAAATGTCTAGATCAAACTCTTTGGTGGGGAGGGGGATTGGTAAAATTTGAGACACACCAGGTAATACCTAGAAAGAAGATACCAGTAGTTGCTGAGAAGGATAATTTCGGAATCTATGCGAGGGTTTCAAAAGTTTATGGGTGGGGAAATGTAAATACAAAATAATAGCATTTTTCTATGAACTTCTTTGAAGGCCTCTAGTATTTATTTTCTTCTGTGTGATTTTCTATATTTTCAAAAATTTCCACAGAGAATATGCATACTGAGTCACTGGAAACAATAATACACTGAATGTGATTTCACCTAAGCTTTACTCAGCAGAGAGCCCGCCCTCCTCCCACATGTTCACCTCAGGTAGCGGCAACTACTACTGAGTGACTGAGATAAACAGGATTTCACAGAGCCAGATGCTTAGAGCAGCGGTAAAAAGTCAGGGGACAAACAGGCTCATTTTGATAAACTGTATTATCATGACTTCCCATCCTAACCTGCTTAAGGCCCTTTCCCCAATAGTAGATACATTAACATCAAAACTTGTCCCCAACCAATGAGTCGTCAAGACGGACCCATGTGAGTTCAGGAGGTAATCATGGCTGGGGCCCAGCCCATGCTTGCTCTAGTGCCCCACGCATGCTCACACCTTCATCCTGTGTGCCGGTGGCCCCTGCCCAGCAGGTCCTCCGACCCCCTCCTGGAAGGCTCTTGATCATTCTTTAGGTTGCTACTCCAACCTGCTCAGGGACCCTTCCCAGATCCCCCCCAAGTCCTGTCCGCCTCTGCCATTGCACAGGCCGCTGCAACATGCTGGGCGTTCCACCTGCGTCAGCCTGGTATGAGGACAAGCGGAAAGAGACCGCGTAGTAGGTCCTTTTCCTCCCAAGCCCCAGGGTGAAGGCATATCACAGAGCACCCATGGCTGCTTCGTGAGCACACGTGTCAATGTCTCCCGCTCACTCTTTCAGATCACTGCACCCTCACAACCCCCGCAATGTTTGCGGCTCCAGTTTGTATGTAGGAAAACTGAGGCACCAGAGAGGGGAGTAACCTGCACAACGTCATATCCATAGTTGTTGGTTCCAAAGAACAGAAGATGTGCGTTTGAATACATTTTAGAAGCAGGATCCAAATGAGGTGCTCTTCAGTATCCTCCCAGCAGCCCCCAGACCCACCACTCCTAGAGCTCTCCCACCAGAAAAAGACCCACATGTGACAATCCACACGCAAAGCAATTAGAAGACGTTCATGTCTCTTTTCAGCAATTACTTTTATCTCAACAAATAGCTCTGTGCTAGGTGTTGGGTGTAAATGGGAGGAGAAGGAGGGGGAGAGGGGAGGGGGAGGGAAAGGAAGGAAGAGGAAGAGGAGGAGGAGCAGGAAGAGGAAGAGGAGGAAGAGGAGGAGGAGAGGAACATAAATGGAAATCCAGGCCCTTGTACTCAGGGAGCTGCGAAGTTGCTGGGGAGCAAAGCCTTATGGGACCACAGGGCCCCCTGGGGTTGTGGCCCACATCCTAGCAACCTGAAGCACTGCCTTCCAGAAAGTCCCAGGACCAAAAACAAACTCACTGCCATTGAATTGATTCTGACTCACAGTGACCCTATAAGGCACAGAACTGCTGGTGTGAGTTTCCAAGGCTGTAATGCTTTGTGGGAATAGAAAACGTCATCTTTCTCCCTTGGAGTTGCTTGGTGGTTTCAAACTGCTAACCTTGTGGTTAGCAGACCAATGCATAACCACTGGGCCACCTGTCTCTTCTATAATGAGGAAAGGCTGGTCCTGGGACATCAATGAGCACACAATCAGGCAGCACTGCAGGGTTGCAGGGCGGGGGTTATTTGTTCTGGGCAGCAGCCCCTTGAGGGTCAGGGTTGAGCGTGGAAGAACACAGTCTCTCCCAGAATGAAGCATGGGGCCAGGACCTCGGCCTTGGAGACAGCAAGGGAAGGCAAGAAGGCCGGAGTGTGAAGGCCAGGGGTCATAGCAGCCCCTGAAACGTGCACAGGGACATGGACCACAGAAGGAAGAGTGGAAGAGGAGGCGGCCCGTGGTTAGTTGTGAATGGACTCTTGGATTGCGCCCCTCGTGTCTACATGATCTGAGCTATCTCAGTACCCCGAGTCATAATCACGCAAACCCCTCCCCTGTGTGTCTTCTCCCTGCCTCAGGAGTGGCTTCCTGTCTGACCTCCCACCTGATCTGAGTCTTCTTGCTCTTCCCAGGAATCCCTGGGCTCTCGTCTCAGCTGTTGCCAGCACACACATTTGAAGGGGCTGCTAATGCCCTGGAGCTGCAAAGGGGCACCCAGCTCTCCAACATGGGCCTCCTGATTCACCAGGCCACTGAGGAAATGTTGAGCCATTGCTCGGGGCTGCCTCAAGGGAGCCCCTGCTTGTCATTTGATTTCCCATTCTCTCTGTTTCCCATGTAGACACCACATCACGTGACTCCACGGGCAAAGCAAGCAGGCCAGACCACCACCAAGGCCCCCTTTCCCAACCCAGTCACCATAAACACAGCTCGCCGGAGCCATCTGAAGATAACTTCTCACCCCAAAGTCACAGGGCGCCCACAGAAGAAAGCAAGCGTTGTGCCTTCTGGGGGCCTCCACCCTGCCCCAAGCTGGCTTTCTGAGGAGTGAGCTAGCTGGGGGGCAGTTCCCGCTTCCATCTGTGTTGTTCACGTGCGATAGAAACCTCCCAGCGTCCGCGCAGCGCTCAGGGGGCAGTGAAGGTGCAGCTCTGCCTCAGCCCTCTCTCTGCCCTCCGCACCCCCACCCCGCCCAGAGGCAGCGGGGCCTGCCTGCTGACTGCACACATCCTCCCCCGGTACTTTCCCTGGCTGCACTTGACTTACTCTTGATCCCTGCTCCACTAACAGCAAAAACGCTTCACCTTCTTTTCTGGTTTAGACCGGCTGCTTTCAGGCTAAGATTCAGATAGATTCAGAATGTGAATTCAGGCCAAAGGCCAGACAGGATCCCTCCACCCACCCTTGTACAGGCGAAGTCCTTAGCAGCCCTTGCTTTTGGCTGGTGACGTTGCCCAGGCTTCTAATGTCAGGCTCTGTAGGTCACCACGCGGGGTTCCCAGCTAGGGCTGGTGCTTGGGGTCCTGCTGTGTAACCAAGCCATAGGGCCACCGGTCCCACAGGTCCTGCCCAATAGAGTGTGTTGGGTTCCCCTTCTCACAATTTCAGGAACCCCACAAGAGACAGAAGCTCCCGGCATCTGGCAGGCACCTCTTCCCTCAGGGAAAACTACCAGCTGTTACCAGATTTGCCCTCAACTCGCCAATGGTTCATTGGGCCTTCCTCACACCTGGAACCCCATCAGCCCACCATCCAGCCTGAGGCCCAGACCAGGTGATCTTTACACCTGGAACTTCCTTTCTGTTCTGTTCTCCTTCTTCAAAGGGAAGGAGATCCCTGAGGTCGGATCTTTGCCTCTCCCCAAGAGGGTAACTAGCTGGGGCAGAGCTCTGATCACGAGAACCCCTTATGGGGCCCCCTTTTCTAGGATGTCAACCACCACCACCATCATAGATGATATTTGCTGTGGGCTTCCATAGGCCAGCACTGCAAAAGACATGTTTTAAAAGACCTTCTCTCCACCACTGATAAAATTGGATGAGATAGAGACAAAAAGACAAGACTCAGTCATACCCTGACTCACGGGAGCTCATGCTTCCCAACTCACCCCACCTCCAGGGGTGCTGCCCCATGGGGATCCCGGAAGCTCTATGCCTCTTGGGTCCCCATGGGGCCATCCAGCCTGGAGCTCACCATGCCTCCGGTGCACTCTCGGCAGTCCTGCAAACAGCTGAGGTTCTCCCAGGTGCTGTAGGCCTTCAGACAGGCCACCAACGCTTGCAGGGAGCGACTGTTGACGAGCTCCTTCCCCTGAAAGATGTCCTCACCCAGGAGGGCCCCAGCATACCTGCGAGAAAAAGCACAGACGTGGATGGACGCAGCACACCAAGACATGCCGACGTCAAAGGACTCAATCTCCATCTCAGGCTCTCTACCCTGCACCTTTCCCTTTGCTTTGGGGTGCAAGCCTGCAGAAATCTCCAGCCTCCTGGCTGATGTGGATTTGCCAACCTCCAGTTACATGAGCTAATCCCTGGAAGTCAAAACCAGCCTCTCTTTCTCTCTCTCACTGTGTCAGTAGACAAACCTAAGATAAATCCTTCAAAGCTGTCACCACGAACCCTATTCAGAGTGGTAACCCTGAGCCTTCACCTCACCCTCTTCCTCTTTGCAAACCTCTCCCTGATTTTCTGCCCAAGCATAATTTCAGTCATTACTTAGGCCAGCATTTGTCTTCCCATCCCTTGACCCCAACGCAAAATGGCCCTTTTGCTGAATCCTCACCAGAGCTTGATTTTCAAAAGCTAAAGATCTTGAGGTGGGGACCTTCTCCACGATCATCTGGATGAGCCCAAGGTAATCGCAAGCGTACGTGTAAGTGACAGAGGGAGGAGGATGGATGGTCAGAAGAGAGGTGACCGTGGCTGCAGTCAGAGTCATGTGAGGTGAGCAAGACTGGGCTGCCCGCTGCTGGCTTCTTAAAACGGAAGAGGGTGACAAGTCAAGGAATGTAAAGTGTTCTCTGAAAGCGAGTGGAAGGATAGAAACAGTCTTCCTGAGAGCCTCCAGGGAGGGGAGAGAGTTAGGCGGCTGCGCCTGCTCGTCCAGCAGGAACCACCCCAGGAAGCCTTGATTTCCGCCCAGCTGAGACCCACTCAGACTTGTGACCAGAATGATGAGATCATTCGTTTGTGCATTTTTAAGCCCACACATTTGTAGTGATTTGTTAAAATACCTACAGAAAATGCATCCAAACTGTGCACAAGTTATTCCTTCAAAAGGTGAAGTGTCACCATACCCCCTCATTTCCCTCAGTTCTCAGTTCCCAGTAGGTATATGTGCTCCCCCTCTAAGTTGGGGGCTTCTTTTTTTGCCATCTTTCAAAATATCACTGTAGGACAGCTTTCTTGCTTTCTCCTTTCCTCTGAACCTGGTCCTATTAGTCTAGTTTGTTTGTTTGTTTTTTCATGGTTTTATTTTATTTTTATCATTTTATTGGGGGTTCGTAGAGCTCTTATCACGATCCATCCATACATCCATTGTGTCAAGCACATTTGTACATATGTTGCCATCATCATTTTCAAAACATTTTCTTTGGATCAGCTCCTCCTCTTTTTCCCCTCCCTCCCCCACCCTTCCACCCTCCCTCCCTCCCTCATGAACCCTTGAAAATTTATAAATTATTATTTGTTCTGAACTTGTTCTCTCTGTGCCCACCCAAACTCTGAGAAAGGAAGGAATCCATAAGACCAGGTACCAAAGTCAAGGGTGGCTTCCATACTGGGCTGATCACCTTCTGTGGTCGTTATATAATTGTCAAATTGTGAGGATTGAGTGTAGGGGTGGAGTCTAGTCTGTCAATCTGATCATAGCAAATGAGGCTTCTGTGTGGGCATGGCCTTCTCCTGAGGATTCTGGGAAATCTGGTACTTCCTCCTTGGAGTTGGGAAACTCTGCTCACACCCTAGGAGACATAGCAGCTGACAAGACACATGGAGTCACCCTGATGCAGCCCTGGGTGCTGGAGAAGCCATGCAGAGACTCCTGCCAGCGCTGAGAGGTTTCCAATGCCACTGGATCCAAAGACTTTCTACCCACTGGCCTGTGATCATCCTGCATTCGGTGTCATTGCATGTGTTTCATGAGTCTGAAGAGGACTTTATAGATTGGTATCAGACATATGGGCTAATATAGGACTTAGGGACTTGGACAGGACTGGGTTGGGATGCTTTCTCAATGTTCAATTGCTCTTGTATATAAAGCTCTTTCCTATACACATATGTGTGTCCATGGATTTGTTTCTCTAGTCTGCCCGGACAGACACACCTTCTTTTAAGCACCGTAAAAGGAATGTACCATGAATCTCACTTTTCTCAACCGAGAAGGCCCTGGGACTGGAGGTGAAGAACAGTGACAGCAATTAGAAGGTTCTCCATCACCTGCATGACCATATCATTTCTCTTTTTGCAGTCAATATGGTGAATTACACAGATCGATTTCTAAATATTAAACTAAACTTGGATAAGCCCCAATTGGTCATTCTGTATTATTGTTTTATATTTGACTCTATATAATTTGTTAGCATTTATGAAGAATGTTTGAGTTTATGTTCGTAAGTGATACTGGTATCATAATGTCATTTTTGTGGTGTGGTTTAGTTTTCTTTTCAGTGTTAGGATCATGCTCCTAAAATGAAGTTTCCCCTTCTCTTTTATTTTCAGAAAGCATTTGTACTGACCTGGTGTGTTTACTTTCTTAAATATTTAAAATAACTCACCAGGAAAACCAGATAAAGCTGTCTGGATTTTTCTGTTTTTCTATGAGTAATTTTGATAATATGTGTCTTTCATAAGAAATTTGTCTATTTCATATGTTGTCACATTCATTGGCAGTATATCTGTCACGAAAACAATAACTATCACATTGAACTGTTTGATCATTTTAATGTCTGTAGCATCTGTACATTTCAGGCACCGATGCTCTGTGATTTGTTTCTCTCTTTCTCTTTTTTACCCCCAATTTTTTCCCCTTGATGACTCTGCATAAAAGTTTATCAGCTTTTGAAAAATAGAACGGCCTTGGCTTATTTTTTCTCTATTTTTTATCCATTTCTTATTTCATTTTTAATCATTTTTTCTGCTTATTTTTGGGTTTAGTGTTCTCTTTTTCTAGCTTCTTAAAATGAAAATTCAGACTACCAATTTTAAACCTTTTTTTCCTTAATATAAGCATTTAGAGATATAAATTTTCCTCTAAAGGCTGTGTTAGCAGCATACGAATCATTTTTAAATCATGATGCTCTATTTCAGTTGGAATAAAAATATTTACAAATGTCCCTTGTGACTTCTTTGTTGACCTATGGGTTGTTATGCATACTCTATAATTTGTATGTGCAGGCGTGGTCTAATTTCCTGATACTTGGACACCTGTGTGCCTTACACTTTGTGTTACTCATCTTCTCCAGTACTGCCTAATGTTGTGCCTCGTTGATTTCTAGAGAATATTTCATTGCCTTCTGCCTTCCTTTGCGGTTTTCTTTGTGGTTGTCACGGGGGTTACATTTTCATCCTACATGGATAACACCATGTTTTAAGTGGATACCAATTTAACTTCAGTAACATCCAAAAACGGTATCTACACTGTTCTTCTTATTTATGTTGCTATTGTCAAAAATTAAATCATGGAATCAGTAAGTTACGATGCATTTTTATGCGTTTGCCTTTAAATCATATGCGATATAACAAGTAGAGTTGCAAACCCAAAATTCCATAAATCTGGCCTTTTTATTTACTAGAGATGTTTTTAATTCCCATGTTGTTTCAGGTCAATATCAAATGCTTTTCATTTCCATCTACAGGATTTCCTTCGGCACGTCCTGTGAGGAAGGTGTCATGGTAACAGACTCCCACAGCTTTGTTTCTATGGAAATGTTTTAATTATATCCTCGTGTTTTGAAGGATGGCTTTGCTGGACATCCTTGTAGAATTCTTGGCTTTCAGGACTTTAAATGCATCATTCCACTGCCTTCTGGCCTCCATGGTTACTGTGGAAAAATCAGTGTTTGTTCGAATGCAGGATCCCTTTTTCCTGACAATTCACCCTGCTTCTCTCCTTATCCCTGGTTTTCAAGAATTTCAGTACAGGGTGTCATGTTGTGAATCTCTTTGGGTTTATCCTTTTTGGAATTCATGGAGCTTCTTCAATAACACTTGGGAAGTCTGGGGGCATTATTTATTATTCCTTCAAGTATGCTTTCTTCCTCTCTCTCTTTTCCTTCAGGGGTTCCCACAATATGTATGCCAGTCTGTTTGATGTTTTCTCAGAAGCCCCTTAAACTCAGTCCACTTTTCTTCATTCTTTTTCTTTTTTGTTCCCCAGATTTGATCATTTCGATGCCCTATCCTCAAGTTCGCTGATACTTTGTCTGCCCGCTCTGTTGAGTCCTTCCAAAGGAATTTTCATTTCAATTATTGGACTCCTTAGTGCTAGAATTTCTATTTGGCATCTCTCTGTAATTTCTCTTTATTGATAGCTTTGTTTTGTGCATATGGAGCCCCGGTGGCATAATGGTTACATGTTGGGCTGCTAACAGCCAAGTCAACGGTCCGAACCCCCTGGCCACCCCATGGGATGGCGCTTTATACTCCTGTTGAGTAAGGCTTTGTTGAGTAAGACCATCTTCATCCCTTGAATGGACTATCATCTCTTACTTCTTTGCTTGTACTGTTAGGTGCCCTTGAGTCCATTGTGTCCCTGTATCAGAGAATGAAAGTGACCAGAGTGACCTTGTATCAGAGAAGGAAACACTCACTGCCCACTCCTGCACCAGCTTGACAATTGTTTTATGTTGGATCCAAGGGTTGAAGCTATTGTGTCAATCCAACTCATGGAGGGATTTCCTTTTTTTTTTTTTTTTTTGCTGCCCTTCTACGTTACTGAATATAATGTCTCTCCTGATAACACATCCAAAGTATGAGACAGTCTTACCATCCTTGCTTATATCATTTCTTTGTATCCCATGTACTATTTTTGCCGTGTTGAAGCCAAAATATTTAAATATTAAATATGATGACTTTGGAAATCAGATTCTTCCATTTCCTCCAGATGTGTTTTACTTTACTTCCATTTCCTCCAGATGTGTTACCATCATTGTGGACGGCTGTAACAGTCTCTTTATAACGTCCCCAACTTTTGCAAAGTACGCCCTCTTGTATATGCGTGGACACTCATGTCTCTATAGCTTCTGTTCTGCCAGTGTGTTCACAGTGATGCCCTTAAATGCCAGGAAAAAGTAAATAAATTAAATTGGTCCCTGTTTTTGCAAATTGTCTCTGTACTGAAGCTCTC